GTTACATTCCACAAAAACAGTAATAATAATAAAAAAATATTCTCAGAGATTATGGACAAAGGCAGATCAAGATTTTCTTGGATCTCAGTCATGCACAGATATCAAACTAGGACCATCTTTGTGTCCATGATTAATCACTGTCTTTAGTCAGTGACCGTCCTGTGTACACCACTACCAGGTGGCTGCTAGCACAGCTATCTGGGCACAGCATATGACTACACTCATAGCTGGCAGATGCTGTGCTGTGGAAGAGCTCAATTTACATAATCCTTGCATCAAACCACAGATTCAGTCCAAATCCACAGCAAGCTCCTGTGAGGCACCTCAGACTCCTTCCCAGCCTCCACATGAATCACCCACTGTGGCTGAACTTCATTACCAAAAGTGCCTCCACAGGGCAGCCAATATCAGCTATCAGTCATCCTGACACATATAAGTAAATACATACATGAATTTGGGACTAACAGCTCCCAATTCCTCTTCTAGGCACCAGAATCCCAGTCACAAACCCACCTCAGGTCATCTTCAGCTTCTAATGAATTACAGTCTGAATTTTCATGCTCTTACCTCACGAGCACTCCAGTATGAGCCCATCGTGCTCCCAGCCGCGTACAAGTCAGATAGGGATGCCACTTCACTGTTAGAGGCAACAGCTGGCAGTGACTCACGAAGTACCTCTGCAAACTTCAAGGAGGCACCTGCTGAGGAGTAAGTGGCTTATCCATGCCCCACCTTCCTTATTGCCTGAAAGGGAAAGTATGAAGAGAGAAAGGGAGGGGATTTGCTGAGTTTATTTGATAGCTAAACACCAGAGGTGCATGTTGGGGGAAGGCTGTACACACCAAGGTGCCAAGAGTTATTAGCAACTCCAGATAAGGGAGTGATAACACACGGCACTTATGCATGAATACCTATGACTAGGCAGCAGTGCACAAATCAGAGAAGGTAATAGCAGCTACACTTGGGATAACAGCAGCTTCCTTGGCTGGAGGAAAACAGAGCTCTACAGCACCCCAAATAACAACCAAAAGTATTGTAGATGGAACAGCTTTAAAAGACCTTCCATTTCAACCAAATTTTATTCATTTTCCTTTTTTTGGAGGTAAAGGGGGTTGAGTTGCTTGCTGGTAGATGGCTCCCCAATTTCATTCATATACTTGCCAGGCAGATACATGTTTTTGTGCTTTCCGAACCCTTCCACAAACACAAAACTTCTGAGTAAACCAAGACAAAAAGTTCTCCAAATTAGGGCATACATTGATTCATCTTAAATGCTAGCATCTAGATGTTTTAAACATAATGCAGTGTCATCAAATTATGATGACACCCATCTTTTCCATTTTCTGGCAGAAAACTGTGCAGCAGTAGATACGCAGGTGAATAGCCCTTGCACAGGTCCAGCTACTAATATGCCCAGATGTCTGATATGAAATGACCACCTGAGAGCTGCAGGAGATGATACTATACACTCACCTCTCCTACCCAAGGGGTATATTCTGCAGGAATTTCATCCACAGCAAGTGCTGCAGAGCATGGAGCTGGAGGGAGGCCATCCCAGACACTGGCAGTCAAGTGCCTCTGCTAGAATAGGGCTGTCGTGGTTTAAACCCAGCCGGTAACAAAGCACCACGCAGCCGCTCGCTCACTCCTCCCCCCGCTGGCCAGTGTGGGATGAGGAGAAAATATAAAGAAAGGCTCGTGGGTCGAGACAAGGACTGGGAGGGATCACTCCCCACTTATGGTCACGGGCAAAAGACAGGCTCGACTTGGGGAAAAAACAAAATCAATTTAATTTACTACCAATCAAATCAAAACAAGGATAATGAGAAGTAAACCCAAACCTTAGAACACCTTCCCCCCCACCCCTCCCTCCTTCCCGGCTCATCTCCAGTCCCCATTTTCTCTCCCTCCTCCCAGCGCAGGGGGCAGGGAATGGGGGCTGGGGTCAGTTCCTCACACGCTGTCTCTGCCGCTCCTTCCTCCTCAGGGGCAGGACTCCTCACTCCTCCCCTGCTCCACCGTGGGGTCCCTCCCACGGGAGACAGTCCCCCATGAACTGCTCCAGCGTGAGTCCTTTCCACGGGCTGCAGTTCCTTCCCTGGGAGGGTCCTTTCTAGAGGCCGATCTTCAGTCACAGGCTGCTCCAGCGCGGGCTTCCCCATGGAGTCGCGGCCATCTTGGGGGCATCCACCCGCTCTGGTGTCCTCCTCCCCGGGCTGCAGGTGGGCATCTGCTCCCCCGCTCCCCTCCGTGGGCTGGGGGGGGACAGCCTGCCGCCTCACCGCGGGCTGTGAGGGCATCCCCTCTTCTTCCCTGACCTCGGTGTCTGCTGAAGGGTTCCTCTCACATCCCAATCCCCCGACTCACTGCAGGTTCCCCCCCTCTTAAATCCGTTCTCCCAGAGGCGCTACCGCTGTCACTGACGGGCTCAGGCTGGGCCAGCGGCGGGTCCGACTTGGAGCCGGGGAAGGTTCCAGCAGCTTCTCACAGGAGCCGGCCCTGCGGCCCCCGCCCCCGCTACCAAAAAACCCCATCACACAAACCTGTAACAAGGACCTGGTAGTAGTCCCAGCACAGGCACCTGGGACAAGACATGTAGCGTGAACTTACAGCAAATGGAGAACCCACTAACAGAAAACATTGTGACAATGTCTGAGAAACTACTATTTCTGGTTTGATGCAGATTATCTGAGATTTTAGGGTGCATAACGAATTCTGGCAAGGGACATGGAGAAGGTGGAGCAGGCTGTAGGAGGGATCCTCAGAGAACTGTTTCCCTTGTCTCAGAAATATGTGTTTTCTGGCCAGTCTGGGGCTGATAAAACCAGGAAGGAGCAGGTGCTCACCATTTGCTATCTGAAAGTCTACAGGCAAAGTTAAGCACAGTATCTAATCTGGACAAAAAAATCCCCAATGAGGGCCAACAGCTGAAAAGTGAAACTGAACCAGAGTACCTCACAGAGCCCACAGACTGCAAAGCTGATGCAATACCCAGATCTTTGCAATAACAGGAGGACTCTGAGAAATATGATGACACCCTGCCTGGCAGGTGTTAAGGATTCAGTCACGATGCCTATTTTGACAGTTTGAGTACCTTATTTTGAGCTCATCAGTGGCTGCTCAGGTGAAACAGCGAACAGGATTTTAGAAGATAAGGTTGAAATTGCCTATATGTACCTTGTTGGGAAATTTGTTGAGGGAAAAGACTTGTCTACGGCTCTTGCCTACTTCTTTTAGGCCAGGTTACACAAGGAGCTGAGGGACTCCTGTAAGTCTAATCCTGGCTGGCCTTTGACGAACTCCCAGCTACCAGCACTTGCCTTTCTTTCACAATGCTTCTGTGGGACTGTGACCAAAAGGACAGCAAAAGCCAACTTCTTAACCAGCTCCAGTTCTAGAAAAGACCACCTGTCTTTCTCCAGTAACTCACCTCTGAGGAAGAATTCACACTAGAAACAGAAGCTACATGGCTTTCTCTGCTGAACCTTTCTTGGCCTTTAGTGTGTTTGAGTAGATTTGCTTCTCCTCAAAACAGCTAGGTTTTTCTTTGGTTATTTTTTATCTAAACAGTTAATATTTTGTCATGACATCTGAAAAACTGGCAAAAGGGACAGAGGTTTTACTTACAAAATGTCTCATTAGCTGAAGAGGAAGAAATGCAAGATATTTATTCTGCTATATATCCACATTCAGGTATGCAGTGATGGTTGATCAACATCCATGCTTTGGTAGACAAGACTCTTGCTTCTTGGGAATGACACACAATTGTTTTCTGTATTACAAACTGTTCCCCTGTACAGCTTGAAGAAGAGTGCTGCTTTTTGTTAGTAGATTGCTCATCGGGTCCTTTATCAGATGTATGCATGCATCATTTTGTGTATTCCCAGGATAGGCATTTCTTCTTCTGTTTTTTGGCCACTGCACTGGGGTTTGAGAGCTGTTATGTTTTTGTGCTATGTGTATATAAATCAGCTTTTTCCCCCTCAGCGACCGCACTTCAATGTACTTGTCAAATAACTAGTTCGGCTGTGGCAATCATACCATCTTAATTTGTACTAGCATACCTAGCAGCTGTATTTTACATTTTATGGTTGTTTAACAACTGTGATGCAGTGAACAGAATATTGGTGTCTTACTCCATTTCTCCAGTGTGATTGTCTGTATGCAATTACCATACATCCTGCAATCACCCTCATGTGCTATCTGTTTCAGTAATATTTCAATTCACTACAAGCTCCAGATAACGCTGCAGCAAAATTGCTTTTGGGGGAGGCAACTGCAGCACACACACATGATCAGAGAGAGAATGCCGTTGATTGTGAGAGGAAATGGCAAGTCCTTCAAAACAAATTCATAAGTTTGATTTAATTGATAAGAATAGATGTCCTCAAAGACCTAAAAGGCCACCCATCCATACATCTGTTATCCAGCACAAGTTTGAAAAATCAAATATCCTTCATAAAATATATATATTTCATAACAGTTCATGACAAAAAAGCACCTGTGAAACAAAACCCTTAAGAGGTAGAACACCATTTCATTTAAGTTACTAAAACCAATAAAATAACTTAAATTGATACTGCATGGTCACCACCTTCTGTGTCTGAAGAGGACTTCATGGATTTGCTATTAATGGTCCCAAAGAAATGCCAGAATATTTTGCAGGTGAAAAAACCCTAGTGACTAGCTACCAAGACAATAAAAGATCGCAGAGATAGAAAGCTAAAACTATTTCCCTATCACACGCAGCTGAACCTTTGCCTTTTGATCATGACAGTGAGATGGTGTTAACAACATAGACTGCTGTGTTTGATATCACAACTCCAGATCAAAAAGCAACTACTGCTTAGTAAACCAAACCATGTGGCTTTGAAACAAATACTTTGAGTTTTATTTTTTTGAGAAGGTTACTTAGAGATGGCACCTGCCAAGAACAGTGAAGTAGCTATCGCATATGTGCTCTCATGGTAAATACTTAGTAAGGGAAAGGAAAATGCTGTTCAAGCAGAGGATTGTGATATTGGCTGGCTCGGAGCTTGTTTCTTTCGTGCCACAGCCATGCGCAAGGCCTGAAGAATCATGTTCTCGTTGTTCATGATGTTGTAATTAGTAAGCTTCAGGAGCTTGTTGAAATCTTCTGCTTTCAGCGAGACCTCCCTCGTTGAGTATGGAGAGCAGAAACTGGAGATATCAACCTTGCCCTGTTCCATTTCAGCAGCACTACGTGACATGCCTGTCAAGGGAAAAGGGGAAGGTGTTTGTGTAGTCCCAGGGAATTACAGTACTGTGATAGACAATGTCAAGAATAATTTAGAGAGGTCACAGATGCAATTGCTATGAAGACAAGTGCTATAATCTCTGAAAAATCTACTTCTGAACAAAGTCTATTAGAATTAAAAGAAATAGTATCACTAAACATCATTCCATTGCAACCAGCACCTTCTACTGGCCAGCTCATGGCACGTCATTTTATGTGGTCACAGGTGCTTAAGTCTTACCCTGAAGGTTGTTGCGTAGAATACATACTGTAAAGGTAAAAGGAATAAAGAGATATATAGGACAGGAGGAAGCAGAATATTAGTAACCTTGGAAATCATCATAAAAACAAAGCCTGCATCTCAAATACTAGCCCAAAAGGACACAGTGACTGTATTAGTTTAGGTACTATTGCTTTGATTTTCCAGCATATACAATCAACACATTAAACAGCCCAATTAGAAAGCACAGTGGCCCTCCATAGAACCCTTCTATACTGTACAGGTAATTCTCCCCTAGATCTGACCATCATAAAAATACATCATCTGAAAAATATGCTTTGTTCTACATGCTAAAGTAAACTTTTGGAGATCACAAGAAGAAATTAGCTCTACTTGAAGAACATGTTTCTTCTTTCACTGAATCTCACCAAGACTCAAACTAAAATTATGCACAAGATTTCACCTGATTTTGCAAACAGTTTGTGTCATCCCATTTTGCAATGTATTTGCTAGTAGGAACAGGCAGACAGACAAAGGATTTTTGTATTGAGATGAGGAAAAAACACCCAGGGAGTGAGAAAGTTCATTAGGTCAATAAAATTAGATAGGTACTGTTAACTTACCAGGTGCTACATATCTTTGGAAGGTGTCATTCACTAATGGAAAATAAAGCAGCAGAGGAGCTCCTGGGGTGTCTGCACCATCAAACATATAGCACTCTTTCAGGTTCTTCTCATCATCCTTCAGCCCAATGCTGGGAAACGGAATTCCCTGCTCTGAGAAGTATCTGCAAGCCTGCTCCAGGGGCTGGTCATGGCCCAACAACAGCAGCATAAGGAATAGAAAAGATACCCAAGATCAGGCTGCTGCTGAAGCCTTGTAATTCATGCCAAGTTGCACAAAACAGACTGCTAGCACTGGACAGCCAGCAATGATGTGAGCACCTGCAGCCCCAGGGACTGTTTTTCTCTTGCCCGAGGAGCTATTTGGAAATAGTCTTACAGGAAAACACCTAATATCAGGATGGTAAAGAGGGTTTAAGTAGGTACCAAGGCACATCTCTAAGAAGGGAACGTGATTTAGGAACACAACAGATCAATTCAAAGCATGTTATAGAGCATCATTGATTAAAGGAGAACTAAGTCAGAAAAATGTAGATCTAAAAACTAAATTTGTGATCCAAGACAGTAAGATTCACAGTCCCATTATCTGTTTATATTGCAGTACTACTTGTGAGTTGACCTCAGTAGACTTTAGCAGGGTTTTGAGACCAACTTACCCATTTCTATAACTTTGAATTTCAGAAATAATATGAGATTTCAAGCTAACATATTTTAGACCTCAAAATATAGCACTAAAAGCATTCATCAGAAGGCTCATTTGTGATGATCAACTATGTTAAATTATCTAACAAAACACTGAAGCACCACCTCAGTTTGTTTGAATTAAATATTTTCAAAAGACTTCGGAGTACAAGGAAGAAATGTAATGCAAGTTATTACATATGCTCTTTTTCAGCTGCAGTACAGAGACAAATATTTTTCATGTGGCATTACAGTGTAAGAGCAGCATTAAAGTATCTTCCACTTGAAAAAAATGACAGAGCCTCAACCAGTGAACTTTGTATTTTCTGTGGTGCCCTTCAGGGACAGGTTTACAGTTATGAGTCTATATTTGGAAGTCTAAATCTGTCTTTTTATGTGGTGAATACTACTTTCCAAATCTATATAAACATTTTAACCAAATCAGATTTCTGCAAACATAGTAAATGCATTTGAAGTCTTGCTTCAAGCCCACTATTTAAGGAAAAAAATTTTATTTATTAAAGGAGATAAAAATAGAGATTAAATTCTTCACTCAGTAGGTTGTTCTTGGACAGCTAGAAAATCACACATTAAAATAAAGACAAATAATATCTTATATGTTAAAGAAAATGCTGATTAAATTCAGCATCTGAATCACAAAGTTTTCCCAGCTATATTTGTGCTATTAAATCTTACATATAACTGTAATAGAAGTTGCAGCTCAACCATCATAACTTCACTGTGCCGCTCTGTATTTCATTGGTGAAGCACTTAGGGGTATTTCAAAAGCAGTTTGAGAAAAACAGATATTTTCCCTTGTGGGAATTTCCATTCTTCTTCTAAGGTTTGGAAACACCATGTTACTAAATTCCACTAAGTTCCATGTTTTACAGACACCTGTCTGAAACTTGTGGAAAGCAAAAGAAAAGCCGTTACTAAACAAAGAGAGTTTTGAGACATCTCACCAAGGTCTGTGATCCACCGGTGTAATTTAAGTGTATGATGACATCCACTTTCCGCTCTGGTCTCATAAGGGGTGGGCAGCTAGTTTCAAAGAAGAAAGCTGCATCCACCAACTCCAGGTGCTCTGAGTGGCCTCTCAGGTCATTAGGAGAGGTGTCTAGCAAAGTGTCTAAAGAGTAAAAGATTCAGAGCTATTAGCACACTGCAGAAAGACATCTGTCAAGTTAGAAAGTAAAAGGAAGGTGAGCTTCCCTTCCATATATTCCCTTTGGTTTAGGATAGCGTGCAGCAATCCTGAATCTCCCTTCAGCCTCTCCATTCACGTTTTGTTGGTGTTTCCACACCCAGGAACTACGCCAAAACCTAGGCAGGTGTTCCATATGTGCAAAGCCCCACCCCAGCAATTTTCATCCCAGTGAGGACTTTCAGTGCTGAACGACCCAGAAATTGAACAGTTGTGTTACTGGAAGTGAAAGATGTGAGAAGTTAGTTAGTTCTCCCTCCTCTCCTCTCAGCAAGCACTAAGAACTAACCACAAAACCCACTCCGTTCTCTTCAGGACGTACAAATGCCCCTCGATAAATCCCAGCCCCTGCGCCCACCCTGATGATCTCTGAGGCACGTAGGCAGAAGTGCTGTCCACACCTTTCCATTTTGTGAAATGCTCCTGCTGGATGTACTCGTTGTGCATCTGGAAGCCCCTCAGGAAGTTGTGGTACTTGGAGACAGCAGGGCGGTCCGTCAGGATATCCCGGAGAGCCGTGGAGAGGCCGCTCGTAGGGGTGAACATGCATGTAGCCATCTCGTATGGCTTCTCGGTCAAGTCTGGTTGTTCCTCTAGAGATACATAGCATAAATGACATGCAGTTGAATTATAACCACAATTGAGAGGCGGCTAGGTGCAAAGAGGAGAAAGGGTCAGCGACTCTTCTGTACCAATAGTAATCGTGTGTTCACAGCTTTCAGCATTGCGTTATTTTTCCCTATGGCATGCTGTGAGTTCTGGTTAATTTCTTGACAAAAAATATAAAATTACTATTGTTTTCTTAACCTCAGTTGGCTACATCTGACTAAAGGAGCATTTTTCTCATAAAACAACATAATTTTGGAACACGTTAAAGTAATTCACTCTTCCAAGCAAACAAAAAATGAGGAAAATAATTTTATTTATACATTTGAGGGGATTACTGGTTTTAGATTTAGGTTAACTATGAAATTCAAAGCTTGTTTTGAAAAGAATAGAAAAATTTTAACTTTTTATTTTTAAACTAAACATTTTTACTTTTTAAAAAAGACTTTGTTCCATTTGGTTCGGGTCTGGCCAGATGAATTCAACACAAACTTGCAAATTATTTATATAAACCCAAACATAAGAGTTCAGGGTTTTTTTTCCAAAAACATAGCCCACAGAAGTGTGACCCAAGTCTGTTCACTATGAAATCACTGACTTTGCTTGAATTTTAACATGAAGATGCTCATGAGTATTTTCAAGGAATGGTCTTTCAGTACAGAGCTGCCTCTCTCAGCTGGTGTAATAGAGCTCCACTACATTGACTTCCTTTGACCTCTTCTTCTAAATCTTTCAGTTCAGTCAGATTTTGAGGGAGGGATGCACTGTGTAGGAGGAATAGATATTGGAAAGGAAACACTCAAGCTTCCCTCTGGCTAACAAATAGTTGACATGAGGCTTTGACAGAAGTTCTTCTTTCCAGCCTTTAAAACACAACACTTTAAGGACCACCTTATGTATCCATCTCCTATCTCTTTTCCATCAAGGTCTGTCTGATGGTGCCTTTCCTTCTAATAACAATCTCACTATTTAAGCAAAGCACTGGCTATTCAGTAAAATCAAATCACTTGATTGTCCTGGTGCCTTCCATACCCCAAAGCTGAGAGAACCGGGATGGCAAAAAAAAACTCAAAAAATGTGAGCGCAGTTACCCTATCAGAAGGGCCTGGAGGAAGGAGGCTATAAGTCAAAGGGTTCTTGAGATTTACCTATTTCAGTCACTCTGTCTTGGGTCCACCTGCGCCAGAAGTCCTCTGAATTGTCAGCTGCGTGCCAGGCATCCAAGAGGTTTTTGGAGAAGATACTACTCCACATTCCTAGGAAGTGGGAGAGGTATAGTAAGCAGTGCTGAGGTAAACACAAGGAAGTTCTTTTAAAAACTGCCTTCTGCTCCTTCCACAGCTCTTCAGCTTTTCGTATTTCTATGTAATTTTTGCATAAGTCCACACATCTATTTCAGTGGTAGAGCTGACTCAGAAGGCAAACTTATTTCAGAAGAAATTTCAAAGTATTTTCCCTTCCACCATGTTTTACCTGGAACTTTTTTTTTTTTTTTAGAAATTTTACATTGTCATTTTCCTATTTTCATTTCCTTTTTCCTTCGATAAAGAAATATTTTCAGCCAGCTCCTTCCCTGATTCCCCTCTTTCTTGCCCTGTTTATTTCTTCTCAACATTTCCTCCAGCTTCCACAAAGTCTCATAGATTTCCAACTTTCAATATGTTTTGCAAGCTACGGGGAAAATGGTGATGCTTCAAAAGCACTCACAAAGGTACATAACAACTTATTTGTCATTTTAGTTTCATTTTATCTTCATACAAATGGTAAAACCACCTTTGCTAGCAAGGGCAGTTGAGTAAGTCTCAGGAGACAGACTGAATTTCAAGTTGACTGAGCCAGTACCTCTGCTGCCAAATGCAGAACAGGTTTCTGGGCACTAATTTCCAGAATCATTAGTGTTTGTATGAAAATCTTGTCACTCCCCCAGGCTGGTGAGTCACCTTGCATGAAACAGATCCGGGACTCAGGGAGCTTCTTCATCAGGCGACCCATGAAGAACTCGCTGCCAAAATCCTCCGCACGAATGAAGGCACCATACTTCAGGAAGCCCACCTCATACGGCGTGAACTCCACCCACTCTGCCAACACATGCACCAACAACGTTAGCTCCGCTGCTAAAAACAGTCAAGTTGTCAGATGTGGAATAAATGTGTCAGGCGTCAGCCCCCTCAGGCAAGCTGGCTTAGCGTGTGCCCTGAACAAACCCTGCTGACTGACAGCCGCTACTGAACCAGCTGTCCCAGTGTCTGCAGGTTTGTGAAAGAGCAATGTCACGGCTAAGGGAGAACTTAAATTCTGCTCTCTTTTTATCTAGCAAGTGGGAAGTTCTCTCATGGAAGGTGGACTAGAACATGGATTGACTTCTATTGCTTTTAATGCCTTTAGCCAATCATGAAAAACATATTTTAAACAACCTTAAAGCTCTAGTGAATCACTTTCTTTAAGAATTCATAGCATTTCTGAGACAGTGTCACAGATCTGTGTCATGTTATTAGTCTGAAGTTAATGTCTGAATATGCACATTTACATGCTAGGAGATCTTACAAAATACTGAACTGTTGCTGTCCAGCCTGTGGCTGCCCGGTTACTCTTTACATCTCTGAACAGGACTTCTCCTGTCTGGAAGTGAGAATTTAAAACAATTCATCATTATCTACTGTATCCCCACGCAAAAACACAGCTCTTTTCCAGAATTGAAACATTACCTCTAAAATCTTTGGTGGCAACTTTGTCCTTGACATTGAGGGCAAGGTAGATGGGCAGTGGGTTCTGACCCTGATTCAATGCCCGACGTTGATCAGAAAGTCTGTGGTGGCATTTCTGGATTTGGGGAGGAAAAAAAAAAAAATGGTTAGCTGATAAACAGTTCCTTAAAGACATCAGCTTACAAAATCTGAATAGGGGATATTGTTTTCCTGAATTTCCTCCTAAATTTACTTCCATGTGCTTGAATAACAGAGGGCAAGAAAATCATAGGAACAGGAATAACTGTTGTTAGGATAACCAGCCATGTTCTACAGTCAGTATACAACAACAGTAATGAGTTGCTTCACATGCTATTCTAACTTTGCATCGCTAAATGCAAGTCAAAAAATAGGGCAGATGTGGGTAATTCAGCTTTTATCACATAGTTCATCTGTTAAACATATGAGTTCTTCAAGGCAGCATGTTAATGACCCTTCTAGTCAAGATTTTTTTTGAAAACCATATTGAAAGTTATCATCCACAGTGGAAAAATTCTTGAGCTGTCCAATACCAACAACTTATTTTATACATGAAGTGGAGATTTTGAGTGTACTTCAGCCAAATTAAACTCTAGCAAATTTTGCTATGTAGCACTGAGGCCAGGAATGCAATGTGAAACATGATATGAAATGAGAGTATTTCATATTATCTCTGTCACCTAGACAAAATATAGACCATGTTTATAGGATTTTAAGATAAAATAGCTTTTTCTCCAGCTATCATCAGTCTGCTAGTTTACATTGAAAGTTTTGCTTGTCATTACAACAAAATTAGGAACAGGAGGTCCTGAGAGATCCAATCCAAAGTAGCCAAAAGGCACCTACAAAATCACAGTTTCTGTAACTAAGATGTCTCGGGAGCTCTGGATCTATATACTTTCTCATCACTAAATCACAAAGTACAGTAACTACATATGGGGTATATCTGCAGTACATTCAAGGTATGACTGCAGCTTGTGTAAATGTTGCAGCAGTGGAGACATAAAAGCATGGGGCCATAAAAAACACCCAAGAACCTCAAAAATTTCTTGGACCACTGCAGTGTTAATTAGCATGCTGGTTACTTTAGAGCTAGTCTGAGCATTTCTATGCTCCATTCAATCGCACTTTAGGCTCCAGCATAGACATTCACTGTGTCTCCAAGTTATTAATGTAAGTAAGTGGTGTTCTGCCTACATACCAAGTACAGTGTTATTGGTCAGGTATCTCTTCCTAGGGTTTTAATTTGTCATCATGGTCATAAAGATCAAGTCACCAACTTTATGAGAAGAAAGATATATAGACATTACCCCATCATTTAACATGGATTCAATCATGAGCCCCCACAGATCAATAAAAGATGTTTTATGTCCTGCTTGGGTCCTTTGGCTCAGCTCTCTGTAATAATTCCTCAAACTTCTTAAGCAAAAAGCCCCCATCTTGCACTTGGCTGCTTGCTTCCGAGCTTCAATAATTATTTCTCCAAGATCCTTACGTGACCAATCAGCATCTTCATACAGTTTTGTCATTGTCCTGCAGGCAGGAAACATGGTGGAAAGCGGAAAGAAGTGAAGAAGATGCTTTTGAAACTCAGAGGATATACTTCACAGAGCTTTGGGCATTTATTATTTTATCTTTAGGTTACTCTCCTCTTTGAGCTTACTTTGAGCAGAAATGCAAGTCCAAAGGCAATCAGTCAAAAGTCACTTGATTTGGGATCCAACACAAGCAGCTTCACCAGCTGTCTATGCTGTTTCTGTCCAACAGTAAATAACCATAAAGGATCACTTTGCATAGGATTAAGGATGTTGGCACTTCCAATAAAGTCTTCTCTTTTGGTTAGGGATAAGTTACTTCAGTGACACCAAATGTATGATGCACAATAGGCCTTTCATGGGTGACCATGGCATTCATAGACCAAAGATGGAAGCAATAACTCAATAGACCCCTTTTACCCTCACTGAGAACTAAAACCCTAGACAAAGCGTGGGTTTTGCTTGACACAACAAGATCCAAAAAACAGTATCAAAATGACTCCTCACCATGTTGTGCCTGACGAGCCACTGATGTATGAAACGCAATCCAGAACACGCAACTTTTGAAGACCCAAAATGCTGCCATACATGGCAGTGAGTGCTCTTATCCCACATCCTGCTGTGGTCACAGCCACTATAGGCACCTGTTCAACACAAAAAAAGGGCAGAAAGCACAAGTGGGAAAGCGGTATTAAGGTACATCCATGTCAAAATATGACAGACATGCAAAAGCAACATCCAGACACTAGTAAAATAAAACACGTAGAATAGAGATAAAGCAACATTGCTCCATGAGTTATAAATAATACAAGTTGCTGGACATCCCTGTGGGGTATACTAGAAGATTTGGGCACTTCAGGAAGGGTTTTTAAGAAACACGGACCAAACTCATTGGTTTGAAGCTCCTTCAAATGATTCATTTGAAAGCCAAGTGGAAATAGAGACTTTGCTCATCCAGACAGGCTGTTGAGCATTCCAGCTGAGATCACCTTGACTGCAAACAGTACCCTGGAGGAGAAGCTGCTGACTGAGGTCCTCACTCATCTGGTTGGAGATGAGAAATCATTCCTCATCTCCAGGGTTGAGGGGGAGAAGAGAGGGAGAAATCCCCCAGCGGTGCATTTCCTGGTTACCTCATGGTCTTGCAGATCTTCCTCCAGATGAAGAACCTCCTTGAGTGCATCAGCAACTACCTTCCTCCGATTTTGCAGGAAATCCTGTTCTTCAGTGCACAGGTCAAACCCTAGGCGGGCATCCAGGTTTCTTGGCCTGAAACACAGACCCTGAGTCCTGAGACCAGGGCACAAATATTATTATATTATTATTCACCATGGTCAACTCTGGCTATGCTTGTGTGTGTTTACAGACAAGTTTGTGGGCAGTATCATGTAATAAATGAGAAGGAGCAACACCACAGGCAGGCCTTTGCTAATTCCTGTAGCTGCTAACAAGAATGCAAATGGGAAGGTAGAGCAGAACATGACATACTGTCCCGGTATGGTAACAAGGTTCCTACAACACACTTCTGGTTGTATTTGCATATACGAAGGCTCTGGGGAGACCTTGTAGTGGCCTTCCAATACTTAAAAAGGGCCTACAGGAAAGATGGGGAGGGACTCTTTATCAGGAAGTGTAGTGATAGGACGAGGGGTAACAGTTTTAAACTGAAAGAGGGTAGATTTAGATTAGATGTTATAAAAAATTATTTACTGTGAGGGTGATGAGACACTGGAACAGGCTGCCCAGAGCAGCTGTGGATGCCCCATCCCTGGAACTGTTCAAGGCTGGGTTGGATGGGGCTTTGAGTAACATGGTCTAGTGGAAGGTGTCCCTGCCCCTGTTAGCAGGGGGTTGGAACTAGATGATCTTTAAGGTCCCTTCCAACCCAAATCATTCTATGATTCTATGAAAGAATTCATTTTTCAAGTTTCAGTAGTGCTGCCATATGTGCCTGTAACTAGATAACCTCTGTCAACAGGCACTGCAGTTGATTAGGGAAACAGCTACCATGCCTTGGTCTTATTTTGTTTGTATAATACAGAAATACAATTTCTTTGTGGAGCTGTTCATTCCAGCTGTGGGCATAATTGCACACAAATCAAGATCTACTTACTGAGCTGCACTAACAGCTGGGAAACTTGGAGGAAAGGGGACCCATGGTTTAAGTCTCCATGACTGAAAAAGGAGAACCTGGCAAACAAAAGTCTGCAACCCAAAGATGAGCACACCTCTGCTTACAACTGAGCCTGCATGGACCCCTGCTGTTTTCAACTGAGCTTTGCGTAGGTGCAAATGTCTCCCAGTTACAGGATCGGGTCTTGCTGGAGACTCACTTACCATTCATTTGCCTTTGTGTACAAGTCAATTGTCCTGTCCTGAAAATCGCAATACAAACAGTGTAAGCATGCTCAGGTCATTAATCCTGCGCCTTCCTCCCCCACTGCATCTACGGGCTGAGTTTCACTATCTTTGCAGTCAGCAACACAGCTGCAGAATCTGGCCAGCAATGGTCTGAGTTGTGAGAGATATAATAAGCTCCAGTACAGTCTGGGTTGAATAGAAGTGGGCCATTCACCCATGCCAGGTGGGCTTGGGGCCCCTCAGCTTTTCATAGCTGAACATCTAGTTTAACCTTCATTTTCTGGGAAGGTCATTGAAAGCTGGGCATCTGAACCACAGGCATATGGATGTTCTCTGTTTTATCTTCCGCCTCAGGCTTTCCCTTTGCAAATATAAGTCTTAATTGTCATATCCATTACTGTTAACTCACATACTATGTTGATGAACATATTAGATATGTCCTGAGGAAACTAATGTAAACTCAGAACAAGGTTGAATGGCACGCCTGGAACCACATGCAGAACAAAAGAAAAAAAATAAATATCACATAGTTGCAGAGTGACTGTCATTCACACCTTACACATGGTGCATGCATGGTGCCTGACAGTAACTGAATCACTGAGCTGTAAGACTCTCATCACCCACCAAATTGAATGTGTCTTGGGCTGGTTTTTATTAAGAAATACTTGTTCTCACCTCTGCTATTGTTATTTTCTCTTGTATAGGAAGCAAGTTCAGAGCTAGAGTCACAGACTCATTCATATCCCTTTCATTTTGACTTGATATAGACTGGAAAAAAAGGGTAAAAAAGAATAATGACAGTTAACTATTATACAAAAATGGGGAAAAAAGAGGTAGAAGCAGTCTCCCCAGCCTCACTTACATACATGCACTTAGCAATTCCCTGCATACACAGACCTGCACACACACTCAGGTCTTAGAGGTCCCCAAAGAAGTAGACAGCAAAGAGCCAACTACACATTAGTGGTGATCACATACCCTGCTGAGCCGCCTCCGCCGCGGTAGAGCCACAGTGAGTGCCGACTGATTATATTTGATGTAGTGGAACCTGGTCGGGGAGGTCGGGCAGAGGCAGGAGCTCAGTGTATGGGTCTGGGTTCCTTCATACGACCCCTCCACAGTTAATGCAAACTTTCTCTCTGAAGCAAAGGAGTTTCAAACTTAAGGTCTTCAAAAAAATGTGGAGAATTTGTTTGCACAGTAATGTAATATATGCTTTTCTTAAGTAATAACTTCATTTTGATACTCCAATTATAGGATAAATAAATAGACTCACTTACCTGAGCCTTTGGGTTTCAGCTTTAGAGCTTGTGTACAGAATGTGCCATATAGTAACTGTTGCTGCAGTACCACTGCACTTCCATCTATACTGTGATTGCTGAGACTAGTGCTCTATTCATTAGATAATGACTCACAGCTAACAGTTTGGGGGGAGAAAAGCACTCTCTCCTGAAAGTCTGAAATTTTCAAAATACCTCAGCAATAAGACAGTATGTGGTACTAAAATATTATTCTGGTGTAATAATAAGGTATTTTGAAAATTTCAGACTTTGGGGAGAAACTTTTTTTTGGTAGCAGAGCACAGTTCTCTTTGGAACCAGTAAAATCTCAGTCCCTCTATCATGTTTCCCTTTACTTCAACTTGTAATATTTCTTTTGAAATAATTTCTAGCACTTACAGAAATAACGTCTGGTGGTTTTTGGCCTTCATATAATAAGCATCAAATGGTCTTTATATAGAACAGAAGCAACCCAGGTTCAAGGTGAAATACACTCTGTAAATCCACACACTCAAAGGTGTGTAATCAGCCTTTAAAAGAATTATCCCACTCAAGCATTTTCAGCCACATCTAGCAAATTTCTTCACTGTGACAACTGAGCTCAGCTGGATCATCCACATGCTTAAGCAGTTTGCTGGATTGGGGCCACCAGGAAATGTCAGTGAGATGTTTTAAAAATTGTATGGGAGATACACAGGTCCACGAGCATGGACTCAACATAGTAGTGATGCACTGCTTAAAATGTGCAACAAATGTCTTTGGTAATACACTGTGTGTCTTGTGTTTCACCTACTGGCATGTTTTATATTTTTATGCCTAAAGAAATTTTAAGAAGTTGAATTGATAAAAGAGGCCCAGTCCTCACCTGCCCATTTTCTTTGTCTCTGAATCAGGAAACAATAGGAGTTAGCTCCAGTTTAGGACTCAAAAAAAATTCAATTCCCTGGACAAATATTTTGGAAAATTATAAGCATCTGACAAGATGTTATTAAAGAGGAAAGTATTTTGTGGGGAAACCAGACCACATGCTCTTCACACCATATTCTGCAATAATATGTATATTTTTGCCCAACTACAGCCCCCTCCACAGGCCATTGGCATCAGTGAGATTTTGTCTTGCATCTTAAATAACTTTAAGCCAGGGTGTTCAAGTGTAAAACACTGAGTGCTTTTTCCATAAAGTGGCAGCCAGGTTTGTTCCGTAAGACAGCGAAAGGCTCACCTGTACTGTCCTTCCTCAGCCTCCCGCCATCCACCTGCACCTCCAAACAGGAAACTTCACGGGACTGTAGGAGACAACCAGGGAAAAAGAAAAAGGGGTTCACTGTCAGCAGAGCTCTGCCTTGGCCAGGCCCTCGGGCATGTGCGAGGCACATGGGGGGCTCAGGGGGGAGAGATGGTGCCAGTCTGTAACCCCCTTACCAAGCCTAGGGAGGTGGCATTGGGCTTCCACATGGGAAATAACAGATTGCGTAGAGATGAGGAAAGAGAAGGGATCTGCTGGCTCCCACTGAGAGAAGCAGCCCCTCGAGGGCCTGGGGGAGGATCAGCCACAGGGGAAGGCTCCCCGGGCAGGGTGCTCAGCCCAGCTCTCCCCGGGCGGACGGAGGGATGTTGTCTGTCCAAAACCAGCTGGGTTTGGGCAGAAGCGAGCGCTGGCGGCAGCTCGCAGCTTTGGCAGCTGCAGCCTCTGGCAGCGTAAGTCACTGGCAGGGACTGCGTGGGAAAGCCAACGCTGACACCGGCTTTAGCCTGCCTCTTGGCCGATGCCTTCACGCCACCGTATGGAGCAACTGCCCGGTACCCTTAATACTAGCTTTGCAATAAGCATTGCTATACGGCAGGGAAAGGATTATGAAATTAACATTACCACTAAAACTCCATTAGTAACAATGTTTTCAGGAGGATCCGGACTGAAAGACAAAATGGAAAACAATCAATTCAAAAACACTCTCTTTTTTCTGTTTGTTTTGTTTTGTTTTGTTTTAACTCTTCTTTAATCATTAATTCATTATCTTTATCTTTAAAAGTCCATCTTTGGACAGGCAGCATGCACAAAGAGCATCAGAAATTCTAGCTGGGTATTCAATCCAATTTGCCTCTCACAGGCTTGAGGTCTGAACCTTAAACTGTTTATGGAGATCTGCTGAACAGAGGAGCTCCTCACTATCAGACAGGATCATTTTCTGACATATTGAAGCAAATTTACACAGAGGTGGCATAAGTACATTATTGCCCCATATTGCTCAGTTCAAACCTGGGGGATCAGAGCTGAAACACTGGTTAATTCATCCAACATGCCATAACAAAAAAGGAAAAAATACTACCATTTACCTTAAAAACCAACAGCAGCACTAGACTGATTTACACACCCATTGTCTCCATTAACTGTACAGTCAATATGGAAACACAGTAAAAAAAAATTTTCTAACCTATTCCCACAACTGAAACAAATTCCAAGTATCAAGAGCAAGAGGGGTTTGAAACTCAAAACTCTCCCCCTGTGCCGAATGCCCCTTGCAGCCTGGGGAGCAGCAGCAGCCATCAGGGACATCTCTATCCTCCCATTCGCATCTGTGCTAGCTTCTCCGTGTGCCTGGATGCCCAGCGTAGATGCACGCACATCATGCACTGTCATGCACCCCTTCTCCATTAAATGCCCTACACAAGCATTTCCTGAACATCCAAAGCCCCCCTCCGCTTTATTCAGATGGTGACAGTGTTAGGGGTTGCAAGTGTAAAACGGATGTTTTGTGTCAGTAACATTTTGCCTCTGGCTTACATTTCTATTGATCCCCTGTTTGACCTTACGCACCTGCTCTCCATTGTGAATTCAACCTCCAGCTCCTCTTTTCCCTGTGAAAGAAAATGAATGCAGTCACAGCAGGTCGATTCTCCTGTGAAGAGAGATACCCTACAGGAATCTGTTCTCTTTGGGGGATTCTGTAAGCCAGCATCCACCTTTTGTTACCGTGCATGCAACAGATTTGATTTTCTTCACGTCCTACCCACTGTAATTCTAGCGTCACATACTTCTAATGTCATACCCGTTATTTTAGCAGACTCCTACTTTAGACCTTGCAGGCCAAATGTAATACATAGTGCAGGGCCTCTGGTGGTCGCTCCCCCTTTCGGCAGTCATAGGTTCACCCCTCACTGTTTCACAGGCCACCTGCAATCCCCTTTCCCTTCCTCTCCCACAAGCTCTCAGCACTCCCCACTGATCCTCAGCATGAGCGAGGCTGGATTTCTCTGGTGCATCCAAATCATCCTGCCCCTCTCCCAACCCTCACCCACAGCCTGTGCAGATGGGGCTGGTGGCACATTAATATGGCGGCACACTTGGGCGTATGAAGTCCAGGGTGTTCTGGAGGGTATCCTTTGGTTTGGTGGAGTCTGCACGCTTAGCCTCATTGCATGCTCAGTCTTCATCTTTGTCTTTTGTAATTCCCTTCCCCTGAGACTTCCTTCCTCCTTTGCAGGTTTTGGTGCACCTCCCATCATCTTGTTGGCCCATAGCGTGAGTGCTAAGGAAAATACAGGACAGAGCCAGCCGTTCCAAAACAGGTATCATATCAAATCAGCACTCACTGAAGTAAAGGATTTCTGGGCTTAAAACACTGTCCTTAAAACTTCAGTATAAAGTTGTCTCAACTTTATGAAATAAAGACTTGCTGAAAAACTCACTTATGAAAATACGGTTTGCAGCTTATGACTGCAGACCACTACTTTTATATTAACAAAGCATAATGCACAGCTCAGAAGCACCAACTCCAACTGCAAAGGGTTGCCCAAAACTGTTGGAGTAAATTCTCCATATTTTGACATCAAGGACAGCAACCAGACAATCAAGTCCAATAATGTTGGCCACCTGCTGTAGAAGCAGCACCCCACATTTGCAGTAATTACAGAAGCAACACTGGGTATCAGCCCCTGAAACAGTTGGACATATTCAGGTGGCTAAATGGGCAATAAGAAAGGTTGTATATGGGACACACAAGAGGAAAGATTGAGATAACGACATTCTCACCTGACCACATCACCTTAGCTTTGTCCTTGAATTTTATCCATACCTGTGGATTCAGCTGGAAACACAGCTGAATGTTTTCTCCAAGGTGGATTTTGGAGACATCGAAGAATACAGTGAGGAGATGGTCATCTTCAGTTACGTTGTCCTCATCACAAACTTTCAGCTCCAGAATGTTCTGGAATCAAAAAAAATTAGATTGTATAAGGTTTAACAAATACCAGATGCCACAGATATTTCATGTTAGCTAAAGGAATTTAGGAAAGAAGTTTGAGAATGAAAGCAAAGGCAGCAGTAAAATGTAAATTTTGCAGGTGCACTCTACAGACAATTGATTATTCAGGAAGATAGAGTCTTATCCAACCATTGAAAGTTAAATAACTACATAAGAGAGTATGAATACTTTGTAAGGGAACTCGGAGAGACCCTCAGTGTGCAAAGGCTATACGGTAGGTTTGATATCTGGTAAGAATACCTGTTGGGGCTAGTTGCCGTTCCTACCTTAACCTGGCTCTGAATCGTGAAGTGAAAGGTTTCGTTCCATGTCGGGTTCTTGCTGTTCTGGACCGTTTTGGTGCGGAAATGCTGCACAGACGCTGTTGGCAGGCTTAGGCTCACGTAGCAGTCCGACTGGGTTACTGTTGTCGAGAAGGAAAGCGTGAAAGCAATGGACCAAGGAAACACATCTAGTACCCCATAAGGTGTTGCAGTGTATGAATTTTTAAGCTCTGTACACAGGACAATATGCAGAACGTAGGCCAGGGTGCTAGCTAAGGTGCTATCAAGCCAGTGCTAGGCAACCAGTTTGCTTTACTCTTTGTGAAAGCCTGGCAGTTTGCTCTTCTTGAGGACTACTTCTTTTAACTGCTGGAAAACCAATAAACATTCAAAATACACATTTATACACATACACTGCATTCCTTTTTGGAGAAATACACAGCCAGACCATCTATATATATCAGACTTCAAAGGTTTTAATGCTGATGAGCCATCCATACGCACAGGGGCATGCACACACGAGAGCCTCAGAGGGCTGGGCACCGTTGATGGTTCAGCTGCCTGTCAGCAGCACGGAGCAGATCACATTAAGAGCTGTGATGCGGGCTGCTGGACAGACAAAGCCCAGCTCGTACAGAGTGGGCTTCCACAGGCATGGACATGCTTTAATGTTACTGGGGTAACTCTGGCTGTAAGTTCTGTCTTGTCTACTTTTTGGAGCAACCTTTCTTTTCTCTAGCACATCTGGCTGCCAACGCAGTGGTGACAGGAGCTCATTTCACTGAAGGTTCCCAAGAAGCCCCATTGCTGTCACAGAAGGCAGGTCTTGCACCAAGGCATTTGACTAAAGTCTGCTTTCTTCCCTTTTGGAAAGTTAAAGAAGGGAACACACACATACACCACAGAGCTCAACAACAGAGCTTTTCAAGGAAAAAAATTCAAGAAAAAAATTTCAAGAAAAATAAATTAATCATCTGTGGAAAAGATTAATTGCATTTAATCCTCTGAAGCGGATTAAAATGAGCACATGTAAGAAGGGTGTTGAAATGTTGAACAGAATGTTGAACAGACTGACGGTGTAACATTTGGTTTGAGAAGCAGCTGTCCTGAAGGAGAGTTTTTGCCAGTAAAGCTGTATAAAAAAAACTTGCTTAATGCCACTATTTTCACCTGCATCTCTGTGCCTCAGCCAGAGAGGGATAAGGGTATTTGCAACACTCGATGGGCAGGTGGAAGCTTGTCTGTGCTTCCCAGCACAGAGCGAGGTCACATTGCTTCTTTGCACAAGATTGCATTGCTTTGGCTTTGCTGTTTCAATTAGAGGTGTATTCAGGTCATAAAGTTCACCTACAAATTTTAATGTTTCCAGCTGTAGGGAGGGCAGCTTTAGTATTTTCATTTTCCTTTCCCAGATGAAGAGGCCTGTTATAAAGTTTGGATTCCCACCTGAGCTCCATTGTAGGTGAGGGATGTTCAGCACCAAAGCTTCAGTATGAAACAGTGGTTAGCAGCAGTCTGCTGTGCTTACATCATCAACAAGCACTTTCATTCTGAGGTCAGAATAATCTGCCTGCAAATATGTTTTGTCATAGTTATTAAGAAATAAAAGGCAAACATGAGTCACGATATTAACAATCCTGTGGACCCACACTCAAAAGTCAGGGATGATCACCCTACAGAATACAATCTGTTAGTTAGGGACAACCACGCACACAAGTGCCAAAGATAGCATGGGGGAGTATTGCCCATAAATGCCAATCCCATCATTAGGATTATATTTCCTCTCTTTGTAACACCACCTACTTGAGCATTCCTGCCATTGCATAGCAGACACACCTTCATCTGACTAGACTTAGTCTTGTCCTACGTAGTGTTACTGGTAGACCTGACTTTGGGAAACACAGAATAATTGACTCCTCCCTTTATCACACTCTGTATGTAACTGAAGAATTAACAAAGCCAGCTGTTTGGTTTTTTTCCTGACTCCCCTGAGATTTAAGTCATCTTTCTTTGAGTACCTCTGAACAAAACAAAAGAGTAACTTTGACTGATTAAGGTAGTTGTGGCATATACAAGGATATAAATTCTAGAAAAAATAAAATAAAATCAAAACTCATAGAAATCACCTGAATTTCTAACGGTCCTAATCACTCTAAACTTTTGTGTATATACAGGAAATGTCCATATGAAAATCCTTTTAGGCTCTTGGGAAGTCCAGGTTGGTATTAGCACAGACTGCTGTCAGCTCTTGTCCCCACTAGGAAGAGGATCAGAAGGACCTGAGTCCAGAAATTTGTGAGCAATCCAAACTTTATTTCATTGACATTTCCCAAATAGCAATACATGCTCTGACTAGGCCTGTGGCAAAGAACAAAGTATTACTTCAAAAGTCCACCAATTTGTTCTTTTCTGCAAATGATCACTGTCTCCTACTGCACTGTATCATACACCTTTAAGAAATAACTTCTTGTCAGACAGCAGAGCTCTGACTTCTCATTTCAGATCTTTGACTTTCTCTGGGGGGGGCTTCTGACAAAGCCACTAAACAAGCCTGCTTCCCTCTTCCCATCTGCAAACGTGTTTGGTGATGCCTTTTGTACTTCACGGGTGTCCTCTGAAACCTAATTGCCTCTTGTTCGTAAAGTATTTTCCAGGTGTTATGAGAGGCATGCACAACTCCCAGGAACCTTTTTTTACACCTCTCGGATACCTCGGGCCCGTATTCTGCCCGACCAGCTCCAGGCACAAGTAGCTGTGAGAACTGGCACTCCACAGCGTATCCTGTGCCCGAGCCGGTCGGTCACGCCGCGATATCCCATTGCCTTGTATCAAGTGCCTCTTCACGTATATGTACAAGGTTCCCATTGACAGCCACATGCAAGCAAAGCATCATTACCCTGGTACGTAAGCCTAACCACCACCTAACGACGGCGATTACGCTCAGACATGGTGCACACATCAGAGCTTCACAGCAGCAACCTGTTGTGTCCCTCCCCTGGACCGTGACACATGAGCAGCCGTCAAACATGCTTGGAGTGGCAGCCGTGGTATCACCGTGGGGCAATATCCTGCCAAAAGCAGGCGTGGCAGCAGGTATTTATGACAGCACGGTCTCTTCGTCCAGTTATTACACTAAGTTTCTAATTATCTTCCAGGATAGCAGCAGGACTGGATCTTAATTGTGCTTTACCATTAGAAAGCATTACAGTGACGTGACCCATGCTCAGAAACACCATAGCCCCAGCACCATGCTGCATCCCAGACAAGAGCAGAGCACCGGCTGTTCTGGCTTGAGCTAAAAATCTCACCTGTCTCATAGACAGCTCGAATTCAAATGGGGCTAACCCAAAAATTTTTCATTTTACTTCTACCTCCTTTTCGGATGCTAACAGACACAACCTCCAGCCCCCCTGTAGCCTGGGCAGAAACCGAGACATCCTCCTCCTCTTCTTGGGCTGCCTTTAAGTGCTCGCATTGAGGCTATTTCTAGTGGGCAGATATTTTCATGACTGTTACAGTATAGTTTTTCTTACTGTGCTGAAGGGATCCAAACCAGAATGTGGCCTCAAACACTGTTTGCCCAGGTCATCCCCTTGATGATGTCTCCCCTCATTTGGACCTATCCATGTCACAAAACACAAACTATCCCCACCAGCTGAGAAAAGCATTTTTCTTCTTCCTCCCACATCGTGGAGCTGAGCAGAGATCTGGCTGATGGTGGGTGGACAGGCAGGCATTGCTGTTTTCTAGAGTGCAGAATATTAGATAATTTAGATCATTGGAACTTTTTACATGCTTTTTAAAATAAGAATGTGGGTTACTTCTGTGAAAGTAAACACCTTCCTTCTCAAGGCCCTTCACAGTCAGACTATAAGAATTAATTTAGTCCTGGGAGATCAGTTCCTGCCTCCAGGGAGCATTCAACATTAATCTCCTAATAGCTAAACTTCAATAAAAAGCTTTCACATTTTCTCCCACCTTGCCCCTCACATTGGGTGGAGCACCCTACACACATCCCTAAAATAGTATCACTAGTCTCATTTACATCCCTCCTTAAAACATCCCTTTGCTGAGATGTTGCTAAAAAACCTTACTTTTTTTTCCCATTTTCTCCCTTGTCGGGCTTTATCAGTCCACATGCTTTTATTTTATAACAAGATTTCAAGCAGCATCTAGAGCAATAGGCTGTTGGTACATAATTGCAACTGCTTAAATGGTGAAGTAAGTAATAAATAACAATGAAACAATAACAACAGTGCAAGAACAAAACACTGGAGGAAGTCTGTGGGTTCCTGCAATAAGTATCACATTGAACCATAGTTCCTTAAACAATAATGTATTTCACTGGCTATGTTTCTTTTCAGGATCTCAATGGCCATTACATTAATTGATCTCGTATATGGCAGAACTGCTACTGCAATGCCATAAAATATGGGGGTTTTATAAAAACGTAAAACATACTTAATAATTTTAGAACATATTGTACCCAAAATAATATAAGCCTTATATAAAAGTGTCCAAAACTTGGAAGTTTCCAAAATTAACAAGCCTGATTTTAAAAAAAAAAAGCCATAAAAGCTTCAAAAATATCATTTTCTTACTAAGAAAATGCTGAAGAATATTTTTAACTCTACACCAGTCAAGGTCCATTTAGCCCAGGGCACACAGCCAGTGTCCACTGAGGGCTCTTGGATATTTTCAGGAAGCAGGGAATGATGGCTTAAAATTGCTCAGTTCAGTGTTCCCATCTAGTTGCCTATTTTTACCTTTTTGTTTAACCCTTAATACTCTGTTTTCTTTTTCATTTGTTAATTCCACTTAATGATTTTGTTTCTCTCCAGTATCTTGTTCTTTAACCCCTTTGTCTTTTTTGGGGAAGGATTGTACGTCTTGTTAGGGATGGACATCAGTGCCAGAGGAGAATATGCCTCACATTTAGTGGTGGGTGTCTGAGGAAGAGTATAAGATGGCCAGCCCTCACAATTTAAGGTTCAGAGACTTCCTAAGCCAACCTTCACCGGATTTTTCTTCTATGAAATTGTCCAGTCTCCACTTGGAACCCACGTAAACTTTTGGCATCCACGATCTCCTGCCGTGGGTGGTTCCCAAGCTGAACCACGTGCTGCGGAAAGACATGTCCTTCTGTTTTTTCTGGAACTATGGTGGTTGTTCAAGGACTGTGAGAGGCCAAGCTTGGAATCTGGAATTCTCTGCAGCAAAAGCCCTGTTTTTAAGGGTGGGTTGGATTGGTGCACATCCAAGTCTCACCCCATTAGGGAGTCAGGATGCAGATGGGACACACACCCAAATCTGGGAACTGGCAAGTGTTCACAGGTCCAGGAATACCAAGAGCCCCAATGAGCCTGATGGGGATGTGGGTGTGCTCAGTGGGAAGGGGGAGTGTGGAGAACACAAATAAGGCACTGAATTCACAGGTGGTATCAATGATATCAGCTATGCATCAAAACACAAGTGGAAATTAGTGTTATAATTTACACACTGATGGATCAGTGGGAAGAAAAGACAGAATAGCACAAGGGCACACTGAAAAGACTCAGCATTTAAAAAGCAGAATTAAACAATTCAAATTGTCTTAAATAAAAATACTATCTTATGCACTGGACTTCTATTAAAGGTCTTGTATTATTTATTCCATGGGAGATGTTAGTGAGGTTTTGAGAGTCTATTTTTATGGATTGATTTTCCCATCTCCATTACCTGGAAAATGGAGCAGATGATAGACAAAAAATGAAGTTAACCTGAGGCACCAGGTTGGGAGACCTTCTGGGAGGCCATTGAAATATGTGACTTCTACAAGGCTGGCTACATGGAAAACTATGTCCTGAAATGGTTTAAAAGCAGATCTTCCTCATAAATGCAATGGACAAATTTTACACTCAGCAAAATCAAACGTTACTGGAATTAAGCAGCTGTCAATCAAAACCAGATTCAACAATTAAGCATAAGCAAGGCAGTGTCATGACTGGTATGATTTTCTTTTCCTACATGATGGAAGTACCCAACAAGCAAAGCATTCACCTTTTGCAAATATTGTTTTTGTTTTGTTTGTGCAAAATTTTTTCCCCTCAATATTTTGACTGATACTACCATTTCAAACAGATGATAGCTTGGCAATGTTGGTGGTGAGTGTCTGTCATTCTGTTTTGTGGGCAACAGCCAGTATACACTTCACACAGTGCAAGGCAGAACAGCCTCAGCCTGGAAAGCCCGTGCTGTGGCTTTACTGCTGCTCCAGACCCTGTGCTGCGCTCCAAAAGCACCTCTGGCATTCAAACTGCTCCTTTAAGCAGCTTTACAGGCTGGTGGGATGTGTCTTGGACTGGGAAGCAGAAACGCCTGAGCATTTCAGTACCTGTCCCTTGCCCTAGAAATTTTCTACTATTGGGAAAGACAGCATCAAAACATAGGAAACTCCCTTCAGAATAAAAATAGTTTCAAGACAAAAATAAGAAGCATTGACCTAGATGAGAAAAAGGTGGAGAGGAAGATTGGTAAGCTCATTATCATGCAGATGGTTTAACAGAACATGATTACTTGGGAGATATCTAAGGGCTACAGTTTTCCACACCTCTTTCAGTTCAGAGTGCACATTTGTATGTTCAAGTAGGTTTTAGCTGTAGCAAGGGATTTGTCTCCAGCCTACAACTGAGCTTCATATCTCCTTTCCGCACTTTAGTAGTAGTCCAGTGGGAAGGTTCATACAGAGTTTTCTTCCCCATACATTCAGCAACAAGAAAGTATCTTACTTTTCTTCAATAAAAATTAGAGTGAGAAAATCTTCATATACCTTTGGTCTCTAGAGAAACTATAGCAGAACTCAAAATAAATTACTTTGGAAAGGCCCAGACAGGTGTCTTGTCTTGCATCATTTTTCCTGAACAAATTTAGCTTGGTCTGGTTCCTATAGAAACTTTCTGGATTCAGACCTTCTTATCTGTATAAATGAATAAATGCAAGACAATCAGTCATCTCCTCAGATTGGAGATGATTGTCATTCACGCCTTTTTTTCTAGTGCTTTGCAGTTCATATATTTATGGAGCATTAATAAACTTTTACGTAACTATCTTTCCTGGGGATTTTGTAAAAATAGTTAAGAATAGAAAAGCTAACAGTATGAGCCCTCAACTAAGTTTTGAAACACGGCTGTTCCTCTCGCTGAATCAAATTTGACAGTCCATGGGAGATGTCAAGTGTCCAGTCCTCAGCTCACATAAAATATTCTGTGTTAGGTCCAGGGGTGCACAGGGTGGACATTACTGTAAGAAGGAACCACAGAAAGAAGTGCCTTACCTAAACTTCTTATTGCAGCCTTCCCTGTGAATAAAGCTCTCTTTCTCTGCAGATTCAGATGTAAAATATTTTATGTATTCTGTGCAAACATGATCTGAACTACAGCCGGTGGCTAGACTTCAGTGTGAGACTGGCAAAGATAGAAGAATAAACAATATCTTCTAACCATGCTACCTCATCTTCAGCATACAACAGTCACGCATCTTCTCTCTCTCTCTCCTTTTATAAGTACTTGGTAGTGTTTGTGACACTTGATTATATTCCGAGTAGTTTTACAAGCATGTAGATGCCCCAGGGATATAGCAAAGATACTCACGCAAGTCTGCTTTCCTGGCATTTTTCATCCGTATGATTTTTACGGTGAGCAAGTTGCATGGAGATGGTTCTGTCTGTTGAACAGCATACAAAATGCATGGGATGAGAATGCAGAGAGAAAGAACAGAAGCACAGTCAGAGATAGCATTGAATTAAGTGTTTCAGTTCCAACCATCCAAAACATTCCTGAACTGAGGTTCTTCCTTGTGCATTATCTTTTCCTTCTTCCCAGAAGGTTTGCAGCCAGGTGTGGCCAGAGACCCAAAATGTACATTCAGTCACAGAACAAACCTCTGACATCCTCCATTTTCCATTCTGAGGAAACTTGTGGTAACCCTCAACTCGAGGTCTCTGACTTTTACAACCTAATCACAGAGAAACATATGATAGTGAGCCTTGCTGTGTTATTAATACAGCTGACACACATCTTGGTCTGTGCAAATTCAAAGGATGTCATATATATCCACTATATTTCACAACAAACAGCAGACAATCTAGCAGGGCAGGAATTAGTAACGATATCATGGTGTAACGATGCTGCTCGTCAGCTGGTTTATAGCCATGTAACTCCATTGTTATGTTTGACGTAGAGCAGTGCTGGCTCTCACGCAATGAGGACCTGAAAAGTGTCTTCCAGAGAGCTATCTCCCTGCCTTCTCAGAAGGGGGGAGTGAAAGCAACAACTCTGTAATTATTTCTCTCTGAATAATTCAGCTCATCCAATCTTCCTTTAAGCAAAGGTCACAGGAAGGTATCAATGGAAATCTTGGGAAACCACCTAAACCTAGGTAGTTATCAAAAAACATTTAACAAACCTGCCAGGAAACTGGTTTGATTGTCATCCTCTCTCATCCTAAGCAAGGATCAGACAAACATGGTATTTAATCAAAAGTACAGGCGCTGAAGGTGAGGTACTTTTTCCCTAGATAATTGTCTTTTTTAAAGGAATAAAAGGAGGACAAACTGCACATTTAATGCTCTAAATGACAAAAAAACCCCTCACCAAAACCAACCAAAAAACCTCAAAACCACAAAAAAATCCAACCAACAACAAAGAGGAGGAAAAATGGAAGAGCAAAATGTAGTGATGCAACAAACACATATAAGAAACAGGTCACGCACACTACCTATAGAGCAGGGAATATCACTGCAATGAATATGTAGCTTGATATATAACAACGTGTCACCATTCATTGCCTTATGCCCCAAAACTGCCACAATTTTTAAGAGAGCTATATGTAACCCCACACATAATATTAGTTTCCTGGCTTCCCCCATGCACCCATTGACATTAGTGATACCTCCTTATTTTTTCTCAGCAGGTTGTTTTGCCTAGCCCAACAGGATGGAAGCAAAAGACAATGCCAATGTACAAAAAGACTTCTTTTTTTTTTTTTTTAATTGGGAATTTTCAAAATAGTTAAATTACTGCAGCGTTGAAGTCCTTGCATTCCTGAAGGCCGAAAGACAAAGTAGGCACAAACCCCAGGCAGAAGCCCTGCCTTGCTCTCACAGCCTTGGTGCTGAAGAAGAAATCTCAGCACTGAAGATACAGGAGGTAGAACACCACCTCCTACAGCAGGTCCCCTCTGCCGCCAAGGGCCTGCCTGCACAGCTCATCACAGAGCCTCCTCTTCCCTGTTCTTACCTGGCTCTTACTATAGAACAGCCCCATCGTGGTCTTTTCTGCGTCCGAGCCAGGTGCGAAACGTGGCAGCGGATGGGTACGGGAGACTCTCAGCCAGGCAGCTTCTCGTGCTTTAAGCTGCTGGGAGCAGGCAGGCAGGTGTGTTAGTGCCTGACTCAACGCCGCCTCACCCCTCCACCACCACTTGAGCAATCCCCAACTCCTCCTCCTCCTCCTCCTCTTCCTCCTCCTCCTCCTCGCTGCCCTGGAGGTGAGTGCGTGCTGCAGACCTGCACCGAGGCGCAGACACCCAGGCTCCGGCACTGCAGAAGGATGGCCTTTGCAGCTGTACTTAGAGGGACGTCGAGACCCGAAAGGGATCTTCCCTTCACAGTTATGGGCGCGGAGCAAATGTTTTATACTTTTAAGCATCCCCATCACTTCTTGAGGAGGCCACGGTGCTTTTGCACACCGGAGGGCTGTCCCACTGCAGCCCCCTGTGCGGAGGTGGCTGACCCAAGGCAGGATCCAGCTGGCTGCCCAGAAGTGGGCAACAAGGACTTCTTTGGCCAAGGACGTCCGAACAAACTGAAGTGCATACAAAAGACTTTTTGTAGCTTTTTATTGCCTATAGGGAGTAGGTGGGTCTTTCCTTAAAGACACATCTGAAAGAATTTTTTTTAATCCCCATCTCACTTTCCATTTTGCTCGACCCAGGCAGTAAGCTGCCTTTCAGCCAAGCAGCTATTGCAGTGACAAATATTGTGTGAAACAATTCCCAACTCACCTGTTGAAACTGTAAGAGAGTTTCCCTTGTAAAGGCAAAGCTTTAAAAGGTCACTCACTTTCTCAGAAATTTTGTTACTTTGTACATCTGAATTAAGGTGCTTGAGTGAATGTTCTCCAAGAGAATACATTTGGGAGGGTGAAATTAATGTTGAGATTAATGTCAATTATTTTTTATGTTCTCATGTATTCTTTATGTCCTCACATCTATAAGGCTTCACTGTCCAGGGCACTGCACACCATGTGAGGTGGCTCCTGTCTCAGTGAGGGTGTACATGAAGTGAGTACACAAGAAGTAAAAAAAATGAGATTTTTTTTTTAAAAAACTCACCCTTGCTATTATGAAATTTAACAGAGAAATCAAATTCAAAATAATCTCATTTCACTTTGCAACGAATTGAGAACTAACTTCACAGACAGGATAGAATTTGAATTTCCTAAAACATTTGGCATTTTAAGACACTCTAACTTAAGAACTAGATGCAACAAATGTCACGTGAACTTTAAACACATTAAGGATGGATAACTAACAGATCACAAAAAGCAGTAGTCCAAGGAGGGTAACCCCAAAGGAAAATATTCCTAGAGAGGTTGCAAACAGTTATAAGCCTATTGCATGTTTTTAACAATGATCTGGAAATTAAAAAAAAAAAAAAAAATCACTATTGGTGCTCTGTTTCAAAAAGAGGATATTGAAACATTGGGGAAGCTGAAAGAAAGAGCTGCAGAATGATCTTGAGAGTAGGAGGAACTCCCTCAGAGAGGGAAAGGCAGGTTTTGTATCAGCCAGCAGGACACAATGCAGAGATACCCCAAGGCTGACTTGGGATGCAGCACACCTATGTCAGTACAGTAATTAGTCATGGAGATGAAGATGGACTAATTAACCCTGATGAAAAGCAGGGTTAATCAGGCTCAGGCTGTGTCATGCACCTATCTGGCTTTTTTCCATGCTGCTGTTAAGTAAGTTTCCCCTGTAAAACAGACTGAAACCTCTTCCATCCTGCTCTGTTTCATTTCCAGCAAAAAGATCTTAGAAACCATGGGAGCAAAACCAAAGATATCTCTGGAAAAACCCAGAGGGATCCCATGAGCTGATATTCTAGTGTTCTGGAGTTAAACCACAGTTACAGCTGCCACACACGTGGAGGGCTAATAATCTAGGTTTAAACATGCAACACTGTACCTGAAAACAGAGTTACACCGTGCCCTTTCAGGTCTTTCCGGTGCACAAACACAATGAACGTGCTCATAGGTGAAAAACATGGCCCATTCCTCCTCTTCCACCACCCAAAATTGCTCTAAGATGCACCACCAGCTGTTTTTTCCATAGGAGTGAATCTTTTTCTCTTATCCATTTCCTAGAACTTTGTTCCATACAAGCAAATTCGCCACTTCTGAGCGTAATCAAGACTCTCCTGATCTCAACACCAATTCTACCCTAGTGACTCAGTCTGAAGGTTCATTGCAACAGTAGGAGCCTTTTATTATCAAAAGGAAGATAATCCCAAGCATTTTCTGAGCTGCTGTGACCAGTTTCTTCATCTATCACAGCTCCACAGTGCAAGGCTGCTATTGTGAAAGACTGAGCTTGGGATCTGCCTGTTGCAGAGCTGCGAGAAGAGAGCCTTTGGCAGCTACCTTCCCCCAGAAGACCTCTAGGATTCTTGATGATGAGGAACCACCCTCTCAAGACAATCCCTGCAAAAGACCATTTGCAGGAAAGTGTCGAACAGTTGCAAAAAACATGTCTGGAAGGGATCTCAAAAGGCTCTCTTGCACTGCCCTATCCTATGCAAACAGCTAGCAGCCACTTCCCATCTTATGAAACACTGGGAGAAATTGCAAGGCCATCTTTCAGGAACAGTCAAGGCAGGTGAAGATGAGTGAGACAGGACAGTCAGCAGCAGCTCCAAGAGAAAATGAAAGGAAAGTTGGGCAACATGACTACTACTTAGGACGAATATACGTGGTTCTGTGAATTAGCAGCTCAGAGGACTCGTTTGACCACCTGAAACAAAGATGACCTGATTCAGGGGTATTTTCTATTGATGGTGAAAACTGTATAGATTTTTACAACACTGATAGTAACTTAAGAAACTTATTTTCAAAGATTAGTGAAGAAAGCCAGTTAAATAAAAACCTCATAGTGGACAGAAAATCAAATCAGAGATGACAACCTTTAATAATCAAGCTAAGCAAGACCAATAAAATGGATTAGCTATTTACCAGAGAAATTCCAGTTCAAGGGATTGCTGTTCTGCCAGACAGAATAAAACCATACAAATACTGCTTTGAATCACATTTTAATGTGCTACATATTTCATTATTATCTTACACAACACCATATTAATTTATACGGAATATATATATATCAATTGTTAAAGTAACAAGGTAACAAAACTAAACACAAATTTGCTGCTTTGAAGTTTGTTTTGGATTAAATCTCTGATAAATTCCAATCTGTTCATCTGAACAGTCACATAAATGGGATGGAGTCCAGCATGTCCTCAGGATGATGAGATTTCTACTGCAAGTATCACTGGCAAGTATCAAACATCTTGATCTCACCACATAATAGACAACCCAAGAAATATCACGTGGAAAGTTGACGCTAGTGAGCGGTGGCTAATAATTCCGTTGCTTCCTCCGTGCTACTGCCAAGCGCAAGGCCTGAATAATCAACTTCTCGTTATTCAGGACATTGTAATCAGTCAGTTTCACCAGTTTGTCAAAATTCTCTTCACTGAAACACACCTCCCTTGTCGTAAATGGGGAGAGGATGCTGGAGACATCAACTTTGCCTTCAGCCATCTCTTCAGGACTCCTTTCCACACCTGAGGGACAAACCGCAAGGAGATGCACCAATAAGGTTTTACTGCAGTATGTGACTCATATCAGTCATTTAAATAATTACATGTAGAAAAGGGTGATTTGGAGGGAAAGATATGATTTGCCAGAGGGACGTAAAAGTAGTCTAGCAGCATTGTATACTTCAGCCTCTGGATCAAGCCTCTGTCCAAAAAATTATGTAAACCCAAACAGCTGGAAATGAGAACAACATTGATTATCAGCAGCAGCACTTGGAGACCACTCCTTGGACAACATAAAGTCTTTGTTACCCAAACTAGAAAAGTGCAAAGAAAAGGAAAACAAGATACTCTTGTACTGGATGAAATAACAACCCTCTCACTGAAAGTTTAGGAGAAATGATGGCACTCAGAGGACATAGTTCATATTAAAAACAAAGATCTCTGTCCACTTAGTCCTCAGTCCGGGAGATTACTTTTAAATATGTGAACAAAACCCAGATGAATGGGCTACCACCAAAATCTCCAGAAGGTTTTCCCTCCATCTTTGTTTGCAAGCAGCAGCACACAGCAAGTCCACATCTGTAGAATAAAACATATTGTGATGAGGACCTACCACCTATGCTGTACGTATTTGGGGAGTTTTACCTTCATACTATCTCTAGTAAGTCCTACAGATGAAATGCCTATTTTGATCTCAAATGTATTAGGAAAGCTTCTGGAGTTCTCATAGTTCAGACGTACTGACACAGACCAGTTATTTTTGTCAGTAATGAGACTGATAATGCCAGCATTGGAAAGAAAGTCAGAGATGACAGTGAGACATTAGATATGGAGAGGACACACTAGGCAAGTGACTTTTTTATTAAAATTGCTAGCCACAGATGACTCACCAGGAGCTTTATACTTCTTGAAGGTGTCATTTACTAGGGGGAAAAAAAGCACTGTTGGAGCTTGTGGACTGTCAGCATCTTCAAACACGTAGCATTCCTTCAAGTTTTCCCTGTCTTCCTCACTTATCTCAATTTTGGGAAATGGAATTCCTTGCCCCGAGATGTACTTTGCAATCTGATCCAGAGGCTGGATGAATGAATAAAATAAATAAAATTAATACAAAGAATCAAAATTCAAAAAAGATCCAGAGACCTGGATTTTTTAAACTCCAGCAGCTAACATGAATATTCTAAGGCTTGAATCTTCCTGCAAGATGTTAAGTTTCAGACGGAAACAGCCATAACCACACCAGACATTGCAGCTTATTTTATTTTCTGCATTGCTTTAGGCAAAACAATAAAACAGTCACTTTCTTTGAGCTTGAAAATGGAGCCAAAAGCCGCAGGACTGATTTTTTAATTCCAATGAAACAGGTTCAGAAGGGGAAGGCAAAGAAACTGCAAGAATGGAGGAGGACCACATCAGTCCAGATTATTCTGTGTCATTGCCTTGACTTCT